GGGATTGGGCCCACAACCTGGGCATGTGCCCCAACTGAGAATTGAACTGGCGGCCTTTTGGTGCATGGGTCAGTGCTCAACCACTGAGCCACACCGGCTGGGCCAGGGGTTCTGGATTTTAACCAGACCCCCTGTATTCATCTCTGAGCCTCACTCCCATTTCTGCTGTGTCCACTGCCTGCGTGTTCAAGGGTGCTAGGGGTGATCTGGCTTGCTCCTCTCTGAGGCTCCCTCTGTGAGTGCTTGGGTTGGTACCCTGTCAGTAATGCCCCAGCCACTTTCCATGTTCTAAAGATGTGCTGAGATTTCTCATCTGCTGACATCTCTTCTCTTTATTCTTGTGGGTTTTAAATATTTTATTGACAGTCTTATACTTAGTCACAAATTTACCATTTGGGGCATTCTTCATTTCTTTGTATAGACCTAAATTTCCATCTGGTATTATTTCCCTTCCACCTGAATAACTTTCTTTAACATTTCTTGAATGTCTTCGGTGACAAATTCTCTTAGCTTTTGTTTGTCTATGAAACTTTATTTCCCCTTTATTTTTGAAGGATACTTTTTTTTTACAGGATATAGAATTCTAGTTTGACATTTTTCCCCTAGCACTTTAAAGATTTTTTTGCTATTGTCTTCCAGCTTGCATGGGTTCTGGTGAGAAGTATGTAATATTTCCTATGTTTGTTCTTTCACACATAGTGTGTCATTTTTCAAAATGCTTTTAAGATTTCCCTTTTTATCACCAGTTTTCAGCATTTGGTTTTGATGAGCTTTGGTGTAGTTTTATTTTTTCTCTGCACTACTCTTTTAAAAAAATATGTTTTTATTGATTTTTTAGAGAGGGAGGAAGGGAGAGAGAGATAGAAACATTGATGTGAGAGAGAAACATCGATTGGCTGCCCCCCACACACAGTCCCTACTGGGGATGGAGCCCACAACCTGTGCATGCGCCCCGACTAAGAATCAAACCAGGACCTCCCAGTCCATGGGATGAGGCTCAATCTACTGAGCCACACTGGCCCGGGCCTCGCCCTTTTTAAAATTTTTATTGTTTGGTGTATTTTTCTTGATGTTTGTCTTGGGATTCTTTGAGTGTTTTGATTCTATGAATTTATTATTGTATTCGTTCCCACAACAAATTAGCACAGATTGGATGAGTTAAAACAAAATTTATTCTCACCCTGGCTGCTGCGCCTCAGTTTGTTGGGCACTGTCCCGTGCACCAAAAGTTGCCAGTTTGATTCCTGGTCAGGGCACATGCTGGGATTGCAGGCTCGATCCCTGGTAGGGAGTGTGCAGAAGGCAGCTGATTAATGTTTCACTCTCACATCAATGTTTCTCTCCCTTTCTCTCTCTCTAAAATTCAATCTAAAAAAATCTTTCAAAAAAAGTATTCTTGCCCATCCTGTGGAACTCAGTGGACTGAGTGTCGTCCCATGTACTGTGAGGTCCCAGTTCGATTCCCCATCAGGACACATGCCCAGGTTGCAGGCTTGATCCCTGGTGGGGGATGGGCAGGAGGCAGCTGATTGATGTTTCTCTCTCACATAGATGATTCTCTCTCTCCTTCTCTCTCTCTCTTTCTCTCTCCCCTTCCATCCCTTCCACTCTATCTAGAAATCAGTGGGAAAATATCCTTGGGTGAGGACCAACAACAACCAAAAAATTATTCTTTCAGAATTTTATAGGTTGGAAATTCAAACTGAAGGTGTCAGCAGGACCCCACTCCCTCCAAACATTCTAGGGGAGAATTCTTCCTCTTCCAGCTTCTGGTAGCTCTAAGCATCCCTTGGCTTACGGCTGCATAACTCTGCTCTGCCTCCACCTTCACGCGGCACTTCTCCTCTCTGTGTATCTTTCCTCTGGGTCTTATAAAGACACATCACTGGATTTAGGGCCCACTTGGATAATCCAGGCTGATTTCATCTTGAGATCCTTAGCAATTATATCTGCAAAGATCCTTTTTCCAAATAAGGTCACATTCATAGGAGGTTAGGAGGTTATGGAGTTTAGGATGTAGACGTATATTTGGGGGGAGGGGGGCTACCACCATTCATCCCACTACAGTGGTTTTTAAAAAATCAAATTTGGAAAAATGTTGGCTATTATTTCTTTAAATTTGTCTTATCAACCCCATTTCTTTACTTATCCTCTGGGACTCCAATTACACATATGTTAGAATGCCTTATAGTGTTGAACAGATTGCTGAGGTTCTTTGAATGTTTTTCAGTACTTTTTCTCCTCTGTGATTCAGTTTGTAGTATTCTATTGCTGTGTCTTCAAGTTCACTGATTTTTTTTTTATTCTGTAGTATCTAATCAACAATTTTACCCAGTGAACTTTCCATTTTATTTTATTTTATTTTTTTAATCCTCACCCGAGAACATTTTTGCATTTATCTTCAGATAGAGTGAGAAGGAGAGAGGGAGGAAGAGATAGAGAAACATCAACGTGAGAGAGACACATCGACTGGCCGACACCCATACAACCCCATGGGGCCGGGAACAAACTGCAACTGAGGTACACACCCTTAGCGGGAACCGAACCCAGGACTCTCTGGTCTGCGGGCCAACGCTGTAACCACTGAGCCAAACCGGCCAGAGCTAAACTTTCCATTTTAGATATTGTACTTGTTAGTTCCCATTTCCTTCCCCTGAATATTGTGTTCATGTTCTTTAAATTCTTGACTATAATGACTAATAAATCATCTTTATTATTTCTGAATATGTTTCTATTAAATTATTTTTCTCTTAATTACAGGTCTTATTTTCCTGCTTGCACGTCTAGTAATTTTTAACTGGATGTTGAACATTGTAAATATTGTGATGTTAAGCATTTGGATTTTGTTGTCTTCCTGTTAGGCTTTCTTCTGGCAGACAGAGTTAAGTTACTTGCAAATCTTTTTAAGTTACTTTTTAATCTTTATTTGAATGGCTGAGCCTTTTCTGTAGGGATAGTTTAGCCTTACGACAGAGACGTAACCCTTCTCAGGCCCCCCTCCTTGGGTAAACAAGAAGGACTCTCCAGCAGGTTGGAGCTTGAATGTCTCCCTGCCCTGGGTGAGCTGTGAGAATTTACCAACTTATTGTTCCTTTTCTGTCTGGTCTTGTTGAGTTTCACTCTACGCATATGAAGTTTGGTATTCAGCAGAGACTCAAAGGGACCCCATGCAGATTTCTGGAGCTCTTTTGTTGCATAGCTTACTCCTTACTGGAACTCTGCCCTGCAACTTCTAGCTACACTGGCCTCTCTGAACTCCTGTCTCTGTCTCCTCAACTCCTGAGTGAGATTACCATGCTCTGCTGGGGATTCCCTTCCTTTAATTGCAGCCTGGAATATTTCTTCAGGTAGAAATCCAGGAAGTCTTAGGGCTCACCTTGTTTCTCTTGCTTCAAGGATCACAGTTGTTGTTTAATGTCTGAACACAGTTATTTTATATATATATTCCCTCTCACCCGAGGATATTTTTCCATTGATTTTTAGAGAGATTGGAAGGGAGAAAGGGGGAGAGAGAGAGAGAGAGAGAAACATTGATGTGAGAGAGACACACCAATTGGTTGCCTCCCACATGACCCTGACCAGGGCCAGGGATCAAACCTGCAACCCAGGTACGTGCCCTTGACTGGGAATCTACCTGTGACCCTTGGGTTTGTGGGCTGACGCTCTGACTGCTGACCCAAACCAGCCAGGGCTATTTTATATATTTTGAAGAAATAGTTTTTTTCTGTTTATAGTGGGAAGGTAACTTCAATTACCGTATCTTGGCTATAGAAGACTTCTGGCATTTTTGTTTATTTGTTTGTTTGTTTGTTTTAATCCTCACCCAAGGATAGTTTTTCCACTGATTTTTAGAGAAAGGAAGGGAGAGAGAGAGAGAGAAACATCAATGTGAGAGAGACACACCAATTGGTTGCCTCCCGCACGTGCCCCAGCCAGGGCCAGGGATCGAACATGCAACCCAGGTACGTGCCCTTGACCAGGAATAAAACCCATGACCCTTTGGTCTGAGGGCTGACGCTCTATTCACTAAGCTACACCGGGAAAGGTTTAGTGGCATTTTAATCAAGTTTTGGGGAGAAGAGGAGGAGTTACATGCATGTGGTCAGTTTGCTGTTGTTTTTTTTTATTGTTTGTTTGTTTGTTTGTTTTTAGAGAGGGAGAAAGGGAGAAAAACATTGATGTGAGAGAGAAACATCAATGCAGTCGGTTGGTTGCCTCCCATACATACCCTGACCTGGGATCAAACCCACAACCCAGGTATGTGCCCTGACCGGGAATTGAACTCGTGACCTTCAGGGTGCATGGGAGGATGCTCCAACCAATTAAGCCACACTGGCCAGGGCCAGTTCACTGTATTTAACTAGAAGGCCTAGACTCCTGAAATATAAATATTTATATTTAACAAAGCTTTGCTTTTATCACTCATCAAAAATCTCATGCAATATAATTATGCTATTCACAAAACAATAACAGGATTTATAAAAATGTAAATACATAGTGTTCCACAGGCACAGGGCATTGGTTTTGAAGTTGTACCATGAACATATTCTTTCAATCCTAGACTGTATTACTGCAGCTGTTGCTAAATCTCACTCAGTGATAATGTCAATAATCTAAATTATTGGCCCTTCCTGATGTGATCTTGGACCCTAGGATAGGTTTTGTCTCAGCTGCCTCCTTGGCCAGCAGCCTCTCTAGACCACCTGTCAGCCCCCGGCTTAACCTTCGTAGGCAGCCCTCTGGGCGTGGAGGAGTAGACCTAGTCAGGGGACCTAGGTGGACAGGAAAGGAGGAAGGCCCTCCCTTCCTGTTACTTTCTGCCCTGTCCCACAAGCCCCCTTCCACTCACCTGACCCCAGCTAATTGTGTCTGTCTCTTTTATTGCTTTGTGAGATGCGCAAGGCAGAGCGGCTAGGTGGTTGCTGCCTGCTTAGAGGCTATTGGGCTCAGCTGGGCTGCTTCTAAAGTGACCAGGGCTACGTCTTCACCTCCTTCTCCAGGTGGACATCGAGCAACTGGATCCCCGTGGGCGGACTCCGCTGCACCTGGCCACCACACTGGGGCACCTCGAGTGTGCCCGTGTGCTCCTGGCACATGGTGCAGATGTGGGCAGGGAGAATCGCAGCGGCTGGACAGGTGGGCACCCCTGCTCACCCCAGCTCCACAGCCAGGGTTTCCCCAGCATCCTATCCTCATCTGCCCTGTGACATTGCCTCCCCCTCTCCCAGTGCTTCAGGAGGCTGTGAGTACCCGGGACCTGGAGCTGGTACAGCTGGTGCTAAGGTACCGGGACTACCAGCGGGTGGTGAAGCGGCTGGCAGGCATCCCTGTGCTCCTGGAGAAGCTGCGCAAGGTGAGGGCCAGCCTCTTAGCCTCCTCACTGTAGCCCTCACACTGTCTGTAGCGCAGACTTAGCCACTCTCCTTGTCATTCTCCAGGCCCAGGACTTCTACGTGGAGATGAAATGGGAATTCACTAGCTGGGGTAAGAGGGGCCGATGCGGGCATCTTTGGACCTCAGGGCTTTTGCACTTGCTGCTCCCCTGCCTAGAGCACTCTTCCCGTAGCTCTTACTGTGGCTCCTCATCTTTTAGTTTTCAGCTCAATGCCACCAGCTAGGCCTTTACAAACGGCCTCAGACACTGTCTCAATGCCATTGTTATTCTTTCCTTCACTTTGTAATGATTTGCTCATTTGTTTGTCACCTGGCATTCCTTGCTTGAAGGTAAGCTCCAGGAGGGCAGGGTCCTGTCTTGTCCAGTGTTATATCCCCAGTGATGGCACAGTGCCTGGCAGACAGCGAGTGTGGAATAAATATTTGTTGGAAGATTGGGTGAAAGATTGAGTGAATGAATGAGCAGATGGGAGATATTAGGGATTTGGTGGTAGCTGAGACATGCTTGTCCCTGACCTCAAATTGCTCATATCTGAGTGACTGTGGTCTTCGTTTGTGCGTGAGGGCTTGGGGGAGCAATCTATCCCTTAGCCTTTCCTGGCCATACTCCTGACTCCCATGCCCTGAGGTGGCCCAGGTTGGGTGGGTCAGACAAATCGAAGCCACCTTTGACCTTCCCTTCTACCTAGTACCCCTGGTGTCCAAGATCTGCCCTAGTGACACCTACAAAGTGTGGAAGAGTGGGCAGAACTTGCGGGTAGACACCACACTCCTGGGCTTTGACCATATGACATGGCAGCGAGGGAACCGCAGCTTCGTCTTCAGGGGCCAAGGTCAGGCAGGCAGGAGGTGGGAAGGGTGGGGAAGCTGGAGATAGCTCCATGCCACCCCTGACCTCTGTGCTGTTCCACGGCTGGCAGATACAAGTGCCGTGGTCATGGAGATTGATCATGACCGCCGCGTAGTATACACGGAGACTCTGGCGCTGGCCGGGCAGGACCGTGAGCTGCTGCTGGCTGCGGCCCAGCCCACTGAGGAGCAGGTACTGAGCCGGCTCACTGCACCAGTTGTCACCACGCAGCTTGATACTAAGAACATCTCCTTTGAGAGGTGAGTGGGCATGGCCTTGATGGCCTGGAGTCAGCCTGGTGGGGTGCCCTCTCATCTGGACCGCTCTGCTTCCTCAGGAACAAGACAGGCATCCTGGGCTGGCGTAGTGAGAAGACTGAAATGGTGAATGGGTACGAAGCCAAGGTGAGACCATAGCTCCCTGGTACCAGACCTCACCACACTCACCTCACCACACTCTTGCCTACAGGGAGCTGGGCTGGGGTTTCCCAAACACCCTCTCTCAGCCTCGGAGGTGCAGAGGCCATGCAGCATTGAAGGAAGGGCACTAGACTGAGAGGCAACGGCCAGAGTTTATTGAGCACTTATTATATCCATGTGCACTGTTCTGACATTTTATTTGTATGTATATATACACACACACACTCACTTATCACACACACATACACACATGTGTGCTCATTTAATTCTCTTAACAACCCTTTTGGGTTGGTGCTATTATTATTCCCAGTTTATTTTATTTTATTTTTAATTTATTTTTATCCTCACCTGAGGACATTTTTGCATTTATCTTCAGATAGAGCAGCAGGGAGAGAGTGAGGAAGAGAGAGAGAGACATCGATGTGAGAGAGACACATCGACTGGTTGCCACCCGCATGACCCCAACCGAGGCCGGGGATGAACCACAACCGAGGTACATGCCCGTAGCGGGAACCGAACCCGGGACTCTCTGGTCCATGGGCCAACGCTCTAACCACTGAGCAAACTGGCCACTGCTATTATTCCCATTTTATAGATGTTTATTGAACCCTTTCCATGGTATCCCATTTAATATTCACAACAACTCTATGAAGTAGGATATCGGCCCGTTTGCGGAGAAGGAAATGGAGGCTTGGTGTGGTTAAATGACCGGTACAAGGTCGCACAACTGTAAATGACAATTGAGGTTCAGACTCTGGCTGCCTTACCCTAAAGCCAGGCCTATACCTTTAAGAAGACTGTCAGTCACGCTGGGACCCCCACATCACCCACCAGTGCTACATGGTGCCACTGCTGAATAAAGGGACTAACAGATGCTATAGGGTTTGTATTTTCCTCCTGGAAGTCTTCCTTCGTTCTGTAGGCTGGGTCAAAGTCTCGGCTTTTTGTTCCCACAACCCTGTGCTCCTCACTCCAAGTCATGTATCTCTCACACTATGTTATAAGTGTCCATTTTCTTGTCTCTTCAACTAAATTGTGAGCCTCAAGAGGGCAGGGGACACGTCGGGCTGTGCTTGTTCATCCCTGTATCTCTGATGCCTGCCTCAGTGCCATAAAGACTCCACAAAGTGTTTGTTGAATGAATAAGAGAATGAATGAATGACTTCATATATTTACTTGCCCAAAGGCCTGGAGATTGGAGCCAACAGCTCCCCCCTCCTGTGCCCCAGACCCTTCCTTGCAGGAAGTGTTCAGAAAGCCCTTAGGGGACAGATGGAGGCTTGGGGTGGTTAATGACTTGTACAGATGACCTATACGTTTGAGTCCTTCATCTTTCCCCAGGTATATGGGGCATCCAATGTGGAACTCATCACCCGGACACGCACAGAGCATCTTTCAGAACAGCACAAGGGCAAGGTCAAAGGTAATGAGGCAGAGGCACATGCGGGGAGGTGAGGACCAGCTCCCACTTGAGCTCCTCCATCAGTATTCCCTCTGACATCCTAGCAAAAACCAGGGTAGTTTACTTAAGCCAATAGGTTTCAATTCGAGTGCCAAGTCCTAATGGTTGGTAGTGGCTGCCTAGAGAGCTGCCAAGATGATTGCAAGGCAACATTTGGGCTCAACGGGAAGGAACTGATTACTGATATCTGCAGTGGATCTGGGAAAGGAGAGACCTATCGTGAGTGCTCGTTGTTGGCCACTCTAGTCTAGTGAGACATGCCCGAGGCAGCAAGTCAGGGGACCCTGCCACTGATTTTCTGTGCCTGTTGATGCTGCACCTGACGTTCTGGGCATGGTTTAGTCTGTCTAAAGTGGAGAGACATAATTCCTACCTCACAGGAGAACAATGACTATGGAAGTGCCTGAAAGAAAATGCACACATACACATGTGTACCCCAGAACTGCTCACCGAAAGCAGGTGTTTTTTGTTCAGTGTCATCAAGTGACACTTTGGGACGTTTATCCTGAGCCCCAAGCCTGCTTTTTATTCCAGCGGTACTTACAGTGGTCCTGGCCCCTACGCCCGGCGTCCTCGGTGCCCCTCAGATGAAGGGGCCTGGATGTGTGGTGTAGATAAGCAGTTCCCTCGCCCCCCAGGAACTGTCCTCCTGCCTGGGGCTTGGGTGCTGTCACTTCTGAGGGCTGCAATGTCCTCCAAGATGCCACATTTCTTATAGGTTGCAAGACACCTCTGCAGTCCTTCCTGGGAATTGCTGAGCAGCACGGGGGCCCCCAAAATGGGGTGAGTATGTGCCAGGGGTGCCCCTCTGTGGAAGGATATGGATGTGACTCAGGAGAAGGCCTGAGAGGTGTCCTGCTTAGACCCCTTTTCCACAGTGCTTAAGACCATGCCAGTTCCCCAGGGGCGGGGGGTAGCTCTGGGCCCGTAATACAAATGGCTGGCCTGGCGTCAGAGACTGAGACCTCATGTGGTACAGACCCTGATCACTCAGACTCTGAGCCAAGCCCCTCCCCATGTGGTACAGACCCTGATCACTCAGACTCTGAGCCAAGCCCCTCCCCATGTGGTACAGACCCTGATCACTCAGACTCTGAGCCAAGCCAACCCCACTGCCATCACCGCAGAAGAGTACTTCAACCCCAACTTTGAGCTTGGCAACCGTGACATGGGCCGTCCCATGGAACTGACCACCAAGACCCAGAAGTGAGGCCCCCTGCTGGTGCTGGGGAGGGGTTGGCAGGGCAAGGGGGGCAGGGGCAAGGGCTCCAGAAAGTTCTAGGAGGCCGTCACTTCTGCATTGTCCCTCACTCCTTGGGATCCTGGGGGGCAGGTTCAAGGCCAAGCTGTGGCTGTGTGAGGAGCATCCCCTGTCCCTGTGTGAGCAGGTGGCCCCCATCATTGACCTCATGGCTGTCAGCAATGCACTTTTTGCCAAGCTCCGGGATTTCATTAGCCTGCGCCTGCCTCCTGGCTTCCCTGTGAAGATTGGTGAGAGCCATCCCCACTTCCCCATGGCTGCTGGGGGTAGGGCAGGGCTTAGATGAGGAAGAGTGGGGTCCAAGGTGTGAGGGGCGGGTGGTGGCACCTGATGATTTCTTCATCCTCAGAAATCCCCATCTTTCATATCCTCAATGCCCGCATTACCTTTGGGAACCTCAATGGCTGCGATGAGCCTGTACCTTCGGTTCGAGGCAGCCCCAGCAGCGAGACCCCTTCCCCAGGCAGCGACTCCTCCAGTGTCAGCAGCTCCAGTTCCACAAGTGAGCCCTGCACCCCTCTGAGCCCGTCCTCCCAGCCCCGTCACCGCAGCCCTTGCTGCCCCTTCCTGGGGAGCCACTGTAACCTCAGCCTGCCCTCAGCCTCCTGCCGTGGATGCGAGATCTCTCCCACCTTGTTCGAGGCCCCACGAGGCTACAGCATGCTGGGCGGCCAGCGAGAGGCTGCGACCCATGACGATGACGACGACCTTCTACAGTTTGCCATCCAGCAGAGCCTGCTCGAGGCAGGCAGTGAGTATGACCAGGTGCGTCGCAGCAGCTGCACTGGGCCACCGACTGTGGTGCCACCATAGCCAACTGGCTCACGCCCTCTCCCTCCAGGTCACCATCTGGGAGGCGCTAACCAACAGCAAGCCAGGCACTCACCCTATGACCTGTGAGGGTCGCCGACCAGACAGGTCAGTGTCCGCCAGGACTTGAAGATGCCTACCCCCCATGCACAAAGTACCCCAGTACCCTGTCACAGTGGGTTAGGACTGCCCACTGAGCAGCCCCTGTTGGCCCAGAAGAACCATGGTACCCTCACCAGGGACCCTACTAGAATCAGGATGGTTTCTACCATACCCTTTCCTGACTCTGGGTTGGGTGAGCAGTACTCCAAAAGTGTCCGGTTGTAGGGGCCTGGTGTATGGCCTCCAGACCCTCACCAGGCAGGATGTTGGAGCCAGGGTTCTAGAATATGCCCACATACACTGGCTGCTGTCCACTGGGGGGATGGGCTCTGTAGGGACTGAGATCTGCCACAACTAGGTGACCCGTGACTGGAGGGTGGCTGGCCTGCTTTGTACTGGGGCCGCCACACTCGCTCACCAGCCTGCTCACCGGCAGTTGCACCCGAAGCCCTGGATGTGTCTTCCTTGCACCCAGGAGCGCCCCACCTACGCCACAGCGTCAGCCCGCCATCCCCACGGTGGTTCCCAGCCCTCGGCCCAGCCCGGGCCCTGGTAGCCGCGTGTTCCGGAGCTACAGTGAGCAGCTGCGGCTGGCCATGGAGTTGTCGGCGCAGGAGCAGGAGGAGCGGCGGCGGCGTGCGCGCCAGGAGGAGGAGGAACTGGAGCGAATACTGCGGCTCTCACTGACCGAGCAGTAGTGCCACTGTCCGGCCTTTGGCCACTCCACGCGAACTCCACCCCGGAGCGAGATGCCCTGGCCTGTGCACACGCGGTGCTGTGGCTGGAGACCAGAGGCACTGCCTCAGGGGCATTGGGACGCACCAGGCACCAGACCAGGAGGGGTTAGGCATGGACATGGGGTACTTTTCCGGGCCAGGCTCTGGAGGCAGCTGGCATGCCCGGTCCCCCAGCTTTGCTGTATCCTGACTCCCAGCCCTCTTCCCTGGGCCCAAGCCTGTCCAAGAGCAGAGCCAGGCAGTCCTGAGCGGGAGACCAATCTTGAGAGGAGCAGTGTCCCCATCCTTGCTCCTGGCTGACCCCACTTTCTGCTCACTGACCCCACTCCAGGACACTGCCCGTGAAGCCTTTGCATTTCTGCTCTTCACCCCTGGGGGCAGCTGAGCTCCCCACGTGCTGTGTTGCTGCTTTGTTCCAAACGCAAACCAGCACGCCCAGGGCCCAGCCCCTCCCCAACCCCGGCATTTCAGCGTCAAGTGCACTTAGCGGGGTGCCCGGCTCCCCCAGCCCCCACACCCCTCCCAAGTCTCAGGGTGGTCCCAGCTTCAATTTGGGCAGCCAGAGGTTGGAGACTCCTTCCCCAAGACATTTATTAGTGATCAGGGAGGGTGCCCAAGGTAGACCCCCAGACCTGGGCAAGGCCTGGCTCCTCCATGCTGTCGTGGCAAATGAGGGGCATATCGGGCTGGGGGCAAGCACTAGATCCTACACTAGACTGGACACGGGAGTTGCCCAGGGCCCTGGCACCACCACCCATCCCTTCCCCACCAGCTGCTGCTAGCCCTCTGTGGTTGTGTGTCCCACTTGCCTCCACCCAGGGGCTGATTCTAAAACCCTTCATCCAATGGTGCTAACCCCCGGCTCTCCCCTGCCCCACCTACCCACCACCCAGAGAAGCACAGACCCTGCTAGGGGCAGGGGCCCATGGCACACCCTTGTCCATGTTCTCTCTGACCGGCCTTCCTGGCTCAGCCAGTGAGGTGCAGAAGGAACACAAAAGGGATGGGAGAAAAGAAAAAAGAGAAACTGTTCCTCTTAACCCTCTTCTCTGATGCCAGGGGCACCAGACTGATTCTGAGGCACAAATTAAAGAGGCTTCAAACCTGAGGCTTTTCCTATCTGCCTTTACTAGGGAAGAAGGCCCACCTTCGGCCTGGGGGCTCCTTCTGAACTTCAGTGTAGGGAGGGCTCTGAGGTAAGAGGATGCCTGGTGGGTCCTAAGCCCAGCCAGGGTTGCATCTGTCAGGGTCCGGGGGAGCCTGGGTGTAGCCTTGTAGAGGCTGGGAGTCTCGCTCTCCTCACCCCTCCACCCATGCAGGAGGCACAGACTGAGCACTTAGTAAAATATTTCATTCAGTATGTCTTGTTTTCCTCCTAGAGTCAAGGCCACAGCAGAGGGCTGGGGGCAGTGTGTGTGTGTGTGTGTGTGTCAGTGCGGGGGGGGCAATGGGGTGGGGGTGAACCTGCTTCCTCCAGCAAGTTTTGTTAGCTCTTGTGGGGAAGCCGCCCTCTTCCCTGCGGGTGGGAAGGAAGAGAGCCCTCTGCTGGGAGTAGCCAGTGGGTCCAGCTCTACAGCCAACAGATTGCGTATGTCTGTAGAACTGGGGTGACGCCAGTCCAGTTTACCACTCATGTTGGTGGAATCATGAGAGCTGATTCGAGGGAGTGGCCTTGTAATTTCCCCCAGCTAGTCTAGGGACATCTGTCGAATCGCCACCCCTTTAAGGTCAACCCAAGTTCCCCAGTATCCCCAATCATCGCGCTAATAACTAAGTACTTCCTCTGCCCTGCTGGGGACAGAGGGAACACCATCTCGCCGCGCAGCGCCGTTGCCGAGGCCCTGCCACCCCGACCTCCCGAGGCCAGCTCCTGCTGAGTTCCGAACGAGGCACGCAGCCCGGGTGCCAGATGAATGCGCGTCTCCGCGACGCTCCATTTGTCCAGGCCTCCCGCGAGGGGAGCAGTTCCATTCCCAGCCCCGACCCCAGCCCAGAGAGGCAGGGTCCCAAGGTCCAGACCCAAAGCCTGGGCAGGCCGATTCCGTGCCCCCGGCGCGGCCGGCCTCGCCCTCCAGGCTCGGCTCGTCCCGGGAGCGCTGTGCTAGTCCGTGCCGTCTACCAGCTCGCACAGCATGTTCTCCAGGGCGGTGATGCGCTGCTCCTGCGCTTGCACCTGCTCGCGAAGGGCCTTGATCTCCTCCAGCAGCGTCTCCAGAGTGTGCTGCTGCTGGGGCGAGGAGGACAGCAGAGGCGGTGTCGGGCTGGGGAGGTTGTGGTAGGGGGACACGCAGATCGGGCCAGGGTGGAGCCGGGCCGGTTCTTACCGACAAGGGGGCATCGCTGGCTGACTGGCTGCGGCGGGGGCCTGACGGCGGGCGCGCGTCCAAGATGTTGCGCTTGGTGACTCGGAGCTCGCGATGCTTGGGGGGGACGTAACCGTCCCTCAGCGAGATGAGCACCGGTTCGGCGTCCTGGCCCGATAGCCATTCGTCCGCTTCTAGGGCCGGCTCGGGGCCCGGCGTATCTGGGTATAGGTCGTCCTGGAACAAGTCTGACTACGGGGGTCGGGGAACAGAAGGACGAGTGTTAGCAGGGTGCTCCCTTTCCACCTTGGAGCTCTGTCCAACCCCTCTCCTGGCCCCTCACCTTGCGGGGCACAGTCATGATGATGGGTTCACACTTTCTTTCGTGCAACTTGAAGAACCTATAAGGGAGTGGGGTTCAGCACCTCCGTAGACTCCCACCCTGTTAACTTCTACCTGGGACCAACCAAGGAAGGGGTTAGAAGCCAACACTTGCTGAGCGCCTACCACTTTAAACACATTGTTGGTCCAGCTGGTAAAACACCTCTGATGGGGGTGTCTATCACCATTTTACAGATGAGGAAACTGAAGTTCAGAGGATGTCAAGCTAGTTAGTGCTGGGCTGGCACTGGAACCAAGCTTGTTTGACACCTCCCACCCCACTCTTTCCCAAAGATTACACTATTGGGGAAGCCCCCATGTCTTCCCCGATGGGAAGTGAGAGGACAGAGGCAGGCGAACGGGAAGGACGGAGGCTGCTGACCGGGCGATCTCGCATTTGCTGACATCCAGGCCCCGCTTGGGCATGAAACCCATGCCCCTCTGGGGTTCCTTGCTGCTGAACGTGTTCAGGTAGTGCACGAAAGGTGGTTCGTCAGTAATCTCAAAGTACCGAATGCTGCTGTCGCCCTGCAAAGCCAGTTGGTTCAGAGACGCACCCAGAAAGGGCCCTTCACATCTCTGTCCAGCCCCTGTTCTCCCCCCCCCCCCCCAAGCCGTGAGCACCTTGCCGCACAGGTAGACGATGCTGGAGTCGGGATCATAGAAGGGCAGTAGAACCCCGTTACTTGTGTCCATCTCCTGCAGTGCCACTGGCTCCTCGAAGTTGTTCTGCTCGAGCACAAGAGGTGTGACTAGTCCTGCCCCGCCTTCTGGATCCCCTGAACCCCCTGTACGCTTCCTGCCCGCCCCAAACCCCATGCGTTCCCACCGCAGTTCTGGTGAACCGAGAGGTAGGCCCCGTCCCTGGACACGTTATTCCCAGTCCCCCGCACACAGGCCCCTCGCGCCGCGCCATGCAATCACCGCAAACCACCCCCAGGGACTCGGCATCACCAGGTGGGGGCGCCAGTGTGGGATCCTTCAGGCGACGCAGCAAAACTGGGCAGAGGGGTGGGTGTGAGGATGGTAGGCGCTGCAAAGAAAGCAGCAGCCCCCAGCCCTGTCCAGGTGGGCATGCCCTGCGGGTGGGGGACGACTGTCCCCCCTCCCGTGATGCCAGTCCCCGGGGCACACACCCCAAGCTTCCAGCTGCGTTACCGGGTCCCACAGGCCCAGCTCTCGCTGGCTCATGCGGGTGAAGCCCGTGGTGAAGATATGACCCTGGCGCGTGAAGATGGCCCGCATGGGCCTCATCCCCTCGTGGGCCGCAAACCTTTCCTGGGGGCAGGGGGAAAACGGGGATAGGCGTCACCCAGCTGCCTGCCCGGGGGATCCTGGAAGGCCGAGCAACCAGCTTGCAGACTTGAGTGTGGGAAGTAGGGGCGGAGACGAAAGGGGGGCTAAGTACTCAGCTTCCGGGGGCCCTAGCTGGCCCCCTAGCAAAGGGTCTTTGCCTTGAGAGAGCTGGAGGCGTGGATCTCTCAGCAGATGGTGAGCCCTTAAGCGCCCTCGTAGGCTGATCCCTAGAGCAGGGGGATGTCTGCTGGTTTCCCCGGGACACAGCGAGGCCGTTCCCAGACCGGAGCTCCCCCTCCGCTTCAGCCCTCTTGGGCACTGGCCAAGGCCTGGAAGGGCGCTCCGGGCTGATCTAGCGAAGTAGCGAGCGCACACGCCCGGCGCGGCCTGGCCTACCGGGTCCCAGAGCGCGAGTTGCCGCTCACTCATCCTGCTGAAGCCGGTGCTGAGTAGCTTCCCGTCTGCGGTGAAGACGGCCCGCAGCGGGCGGGCGCCCTCGTGAGGCCGGGCTCGCTCCTGCTCGCGGGGTTAGTGGGTTAGCGGGCCCGCCGGTCGCGCGCACTAGGCGCAGACTTACATGCACATGCCCCACGCACCCGCTGTTAGTCTGAGGCTGGTGAGGCAGGTGCCGCCGCCCTCCCAGGGCACCCAGTTGGGACCAGCAACGCGCGAGGGTTGTCCTTCTCCCCCGCCCAGCGGGTCAACTAGGACAGAAAGGGCCAGGCCTTGGGCCAGTATCAGGCCCGCAGGCCCTGGAAGATGGCACTGGGTGCCGGCTGAGAGGAGAGGGGTTCCGGGAGCTCAGGTTTCATGCAGGTTTTGTGGGAGGATAGTTTGCGGCTTCTCCCCTTCTCAATCACAAATGGAGAAGGCCCTTTCTCTGAGCTCCTGAGATGGGGGCGGGGGGAGGAATGGGACAGAGAATTGCGGGCTCAGGGGTTTCTTAGGACAGGGAGCTGTGGTTGCAGACACTGCAGGGTGGTGGTGGGTGGGAGCACTGGTCTCTGCAGTTGGGGTCGGGGAGGTGAGAGCTGGGACCAGGGGCTCAGAGGATTTTTGGTATAGGGGCCTGACAGTTGGTCCCTGGGGTAGGGCCTGCGGAGTGGCCAGGCCAGGCACTCACCGCCACCACCTGGCCCTTTCGGGGGTCGATAATGCGCAGGGTCTTGTCCTTGCAGGTGGTGGCTAGCAGGCTGCCATTGCTGTTCCAGCACACGCTGTGGATGATGTCCGGGTGCATATCGTCCAGGCTCAGGAGCACCTCCCCAGTGCCCACGTTCCAGATGATGATCACATTGTCACCACCTACCCAGAGTGGCGCAGTCACCATTATCTGGGCCCTGTCTTTGCCGCCACCCCCCCCCATCTATGGTAGGGACCCCTCTCTAGGCCCCAAACCTGCACTGAGCAGGACATTCCGGGCAGTGGGGTGCCAGGAGAGGATGCCCACGCGCTTGGAGTGGCCTTCTAGTGTGATGATGGGTTCTGTAATGTTGCGCATAGGGGTATAGTCTGGGATCTGCCACACCTGGGTAGGAGGAAAAGGCAGAGGGTGGGTGGGATGAGGAGCCACTTTGTCCCTCAGCTCCTCCCTTACTTCCCCTCCCCATCCCTTCAACCCTACTGGGTTTCTTAAGTGGTATCAAAAGCAGGGCGCAGGGCAAGATGTGATGGTGCCTGCCTGGGTCAGAAGCAGCTGGGAGCCAGGAGGGGGCACTGCCAGCTCTCCAGAGACCTCCTTATTCACCCCAGCAGGGAGACTTCAGAGCACTAACCGAGCTCTTCAGGCCCCAAATTGGCCACAGCTATAATTAGTCCTAAGCGGTGCATCCTGGGAGAGGGTAGGCATATAGCTAAAAATAGCCTGGGAGCTGGGTAGGGCAGGGCCCTGGGACCCAGCACTTCCCTTATCACCTTCTCCAGAACAGGTGAGGCAGCTTCCCCTGCTTCCCCTGCCCAACTACCCAGTGGCTTCCAACTGACTCCTACCATGATGGTGGTGTCGTCTGAGGCACTGGCGATGACATTGTCATTGTGTGGGCACCAGTCGATGTCCAACACTGGGGCAGTGTGCCCAGTGACCAGTGGGTAGTTCTTATCCACTCGTCCTGTCTGGAGGGATCAGAGAGGGAGATGTGGGGCCACTCTCCTGTGTGATTTGGGGGGATGGGCAGTGGACCTGATTACATCTCAATTCTCCGTCATCCACTTTCTCTTTGCAGACCCCTCTCTACACCTCCAATCCATCCAGCCTACTTCCTGTACTTCAGTGAAGGCAGACAGAGCTGAAGTCATTTAATATCAGGGAATCAGACACAGAGAGGTCAGATGATTTAACCAAGGACACACAAGATACTGTTAGAGCCAAGACTTGACCTCTTAGTCCGGTGCTCTTTCAAAACACCTACTTGGGGGAGGCTGTTCTTGAGCCTGTTCCCCCAGTTGGGGTGTCTGTGGGCAGCCCCTGGTGGAAGAGGTCAAGGTGAGATCATGTATAGTGCAGCGCCCAGCAGTCCTTCCCTAGGCATCCTTGGCAGATCTCCACCTAGTCACTCGTTTACCTCGGAACCACAGGCAGCAGGCACTCCTGTTATGCCCAACCTGAGCTGGGGCCTATCTATTTTTGGTCTTTATGGGCTGTTTGTGGGGGCTCTGAGGCCTTTGCTTGGGCTGGCATTGGCCCAGGCTGTAGGGGAGAAGGCTGGCTGTGTGGCACTGGAATGGCAGTTGTAACTGGGGGAGGAGGTGGCTCCAGCTGAAATTCGAGCCCTGGGGATGGTGTCCTTGGATGGTGTCTGCATTGTCCTGGAGTGAGTCACTGGCTATTGTCAGGCCTCTTCCTGCCACCTGTGAGGCCTCCCCTAACAAGGTGTAGGGAGCAGAATCCAGGTCAAGGTCATGCTGGGGGTGGAAATGGCCCAGGGGCGTGAGGCTACTCAGCAAAGGTGGTGGTCACTGCCTGGCCCCCATCCCTGGGGTAGGAAGGGCTCTGGCCTTATGTGCCATGTCCCCCTGACCTTTCTTCCTATTCTACCTCACTGTACAAACCAGAGTGGAGAGGTGGCCAGGGACTCTGGACAGAGCCTGCCTCTGTCCTCAGTGTGATGCTGTGGGGTGTGATCTAATCAAATGGTTGGGCTAGGGAGAAAGATCCCCACACCCAAAACATGAGGGGGTGTGGCATTAGTCAAGATAGGAAGAGAACCTGGCCAGGCCCTGATTCCACTGCTTCCCAACTATCTTCATCTCCCCCTCTGGGTCCCTGCTGGGAACAGGGTGCTAGGCTGTGAGTGGGTACAGGCCACTCTGCTGCTGCTGCTTTGGGAGGGATAAGGTAGCCTCCTAGTGGATCTGTGAGGGCTTGGGGAACAGGGAGCAGCCAACTCAAACAAACAGTCCTCCTAGGTGAGAACTCAGGCTGTTGTCAGGAGTCCCCAGGGGCCACAGCCAGTGCCCTCCCACCGCTTCCTTCCCCTCATCCCTCACCTTGGCCAGAGGCAGGACGATGAAGGCACCTCCACCTCCAGCCTCCACAATAATGGCCAGGAATTTGGGGTTGACGGCACAGAAGGAGCTGTCCCACGTGACCTTGGACACACGGATGTCCTCGTATGCCTGGTCAGCCTTTGCCGCCTGCCCAAACACATGGCGAAACTTGCTCTGCCGAACCACGCGCCGGCTCATGGCTTGGGGCAGAGATGGAGGATCTCAGTGCCCAGAAACACTTTTGGTCCTTAGTCCTGTGAATTTTGGGAGGGAGGAAGAGTGTGTGGAGAGGTAGCAAGTGAGAAGGGTTATCTGGCCAGGAGTTGGGTATAACAGAGTCTGGTCCTAGAAGCAGGGAGCTTTCTTCAAGGTGAGTAAAGTATGGGAAAGTTCTTTGCCACCTATAAAGTGGGGCTTAATGCAAGGGGCTAGGATTTGGGTGGGGCCCGACTTCTTAGAGACCCAGACTGAGGGGTCACACTGGGCCCAAAAGCTTCCTGGAAGTTGAAGTGTTTGGGGGAGGAGCCTCCCAACGGCCAGCCTTGGATGAGCATCTCTTCAGGGAAGTGATTTATCTCCTAGAGGCACCTTGTGCAGAATCAGAGGCCTTGGCCCTTGGATCTTGGCTCAAAGCTAGCTGTGGGGCTAGAACTGCACCCTGCCCCCCACCAACGATCTTCATCTCTGACATAGTTCAGGCAGATGGGGTTTTGCCTTTTTCTAAAAATTTGCCAAGGAGGTCAGTTCCTCCTGCCAGCTGACCTGAGTCCTTCCTGCTACTGTTTTCATCAATTTCCTCCCATGTTGTTTTGGGGACATAGTGTAAGGTGGGTCATCTCTCTTCTCCAAAAGGCCCTAACCATGGTCTTCTGACTTTTGCCTTCCATACTTTCTGTCCTGCTTCTCCTCTGAGTCCTGTCTCCTATTAAACTCTCCTGAGGGTGGGGTGTTCCACCCCGGGGGGCCAGGGCCAGATTTGCAGGAGTGGGAGGGTGAGGTGCCTTTTCTCCAGCCGGCCGGCACTACGCTCTTCCCCAGGGGCACAAGGAGCTCCTGCAAAGCCCCAGCCACTGACTCCTGCCCCCTACCCATTCCTGGTCATCCCTGTGCCCTTCAAGCCGCTTCTGCAGCCCGGGCCTAAGGCCTGGCCTCCCCGCACCCTCCTTGGGCCTCCTGTCCCAGCATTGCGCTCTTGTGAGACGAGGTGTCTGCACCCTGCGGGCGCGCTGGCCGCGGTCCGTCCAAATATAGACACCAAGTTTGCCCCGCCCGAGACCGATTGCGGCGGCCGGAGGAGGGGGGGCGCAGACCTGTGACCCCTCGGGAGACCCCGCCTGCTCCGCTGTCTGCGGTGGCTGCCGGGGGGAGGGGGCGGGTACCTGGTCCTGAGCGGGCCGAGGGGCGCTCACGCTGCGGCTCCTCTGCGGAGGGAGCTGGGGCCGAGGGAGGCGTCAGGGCTCCGGCGCTGCCTCTCCGGGTGTCCGCGGAGTCTGGGGCCCGGGTGTTGGGCTGCGCGCTCCGGCCGCTGCTTGCGGCTCTCCGGGGCCGGGCGCCGCTGCAGTCCCAGCTGCTGCTGCCATCAACCTGCGAAGGCGGAGCCCAGACAGAGGGCGGGACCAGAGGTCCCCCCACCAGCCTCAGCGGCGGGAAAGTCGAGCGCTGCGGCCTCCATGCGGTCAACCTGCCGGCCTCCGAAAAGCGTCAAAAGTAATCGTGCGTTGTGTGCGCGCGGGGTGCGCGCGCTCCTTCCCCGCCTCCCGTGCCCCCCGGGTGTGATGGGGAGCTTCAGGTTCCCACATCCAGAGCTGGGCACTGAGATGGGGAGCGGACCAGGAGGGGGTGCGTTCCTCAGAGCCCGCGGCTGCGTAAGATCAGGTGCTTTCGCGTCGCATTTCTGCTGCAATCGCACTTCCAACTTAGCCGGGCCCGAGGGGCGTGGATTGGGGGGTGAGACTGCGGGGCTGCACCTCCAGACCCTTTTGGGAAGAGGTTTCGGAAGATACTCTGGGGGAGGAAAGTGAATGCACCTCGACCCCCCTGGGAACACCAGTTCAAGGGGGAGCGGCTGGCACAGGTCTTTGGCCAAATTTTAGACGCCCAGCCTGGCTCCTAACGTCTTCTGGGCCTTGTTTGAATTGGTTCCGGCCTCTGTTCAAGGGAAGACCACCGCCCCCCTCCCCTCTTCCCGCCCCGGTCAGGACCCAAGGATCTGAGTATTAACCAAGGTTAAGAAGGAGATAAAAAGAAACCTGATCAAAAAACAGCCCGTGAAGAACAATTCGTCCCTGTAGCTGCAGTCTACCCAGCGCTCACCCTCTGCCTGGATCTGTTTCTTTGGATCATAAGGCCCTGGAGGGCAGCAGCACGGGGCCAGTTATCACTCTCCACTCTCCGGTCACAGCTGGGAATCAATGGAACCGATTTTCAGAGGGCAGAGGTCAGCACATGGTAAACAGGAGGGAAGGTGGTAGGAACCCTGAGGGCCCTCACAAGCCTCCTTTCTCAGGGAGAGTTCAAGTACTTAGTGACTTGTAGAGGATCAGAATCAAACTGTTAGAGGTGCTCCAGAAATAATTCATGTTGTGTGTGTGTGTGTGTGTGTGTGTGTGTGTGTGTGTCACAAGAGTAGATGAGGAGTCTCCTGTTTACCCAAAGATTCCAGTCACAAAATTAGGAGGAAAAGACCTTAGTGACTCTGTTGCTCCTTCGTAACAGCTCGTTGATGTGCCAGACACTGTTCCGGGGGCTTTACACATATTAATTCCATTCGAACAGTCTTGTGCGATGAGTATTATTAACATCCCTATTGTACAGATGAGAATACCGAAGCACAGAAGGTAAGTAGCTTACCCATCACACAACTGGTGGTTGGTGATGCTGAGATTCTTACCTAAGGGGTCTGGTGTCTAGGTCCATGCTTTTCCGCACCATGCATTTCTGCCTCTCCTTGAAGGACAGTGCCACTTTATCTCACCAGTGCTGATACTGAGTTATGCTTTGTGGCACAAAGGAAAGGACATCTGGACGAATTAGAAAACTGGAGTTCCAGCCCTGGCTGTCACCCTATATTGCAGCTCTCTGGGCTGTAAAATGAAGAGGGCTAGGTCGCGTTCTTTCCAATTCTGCCCTTGTTGGCCGAGGAGCTTAACACGCTGCCTCCTGCCCTGAAAGGACATCTTCCTTGCCCCTGTCCTTTCCTCCTCCTTAAAGAGAGCAAGGCACTCCGTTCTAGAGGGAGGGTCTGGGACTAGGAATCAGAATCCTTCGATCCAACCTGCCTTCAGTCCCATCATCTGGGAATGTGGGGGAGATGCCCTCCAGGTACAGGAGCCAGGATTCATAGGTATTGCTTGGACCTGGCATGGCTCAGACCTGCCCTCTAGCCTTCATCTGGTTACCAAGCCCTGGCAGAGCTATGGGTGGGTGGAGCCAAGGCACAAAGTGCCAAGCAGGTGAAGAAGCCATTTGGGCTTCCCCTTGTTACCCATTCCAACTGTTAGCTGGGCTCTGAACTATAATCTGTAGAAGACAAGCGGATTTCATGTCTCATAAAGCCGTTTTGTGGAAGAGGTGTCCTGGCAACTTATGACAAGATTTGGTCCTTTTGATTTGGCTAGAAAGCCCGGACTGAATTTATCTAGACTGGTTGGGACTCTGGGCACACCTAGAATATCTTGTGAAATATTCTTGCCTTCACCATCATGCAACCAGACCGTGGTGTGCCCCTCACTTGATACAGATGAATCAGAATGAAGCAGGCTGACAATTTTAGTTCAAGGCAGTGTTTCCTCTGGAAATGTCATTACATTTTGTTGGCAATTTGGACACTAGAAACTGAGCTTTCCCTACATAGTAGTGTGTGATGAGTGGTACTACTAAATATCTTATGAGTCTGGACTGGGAGAAGTGGGGAACTTTCCCTCTGCCCCCAGCCTGTTTTAGAGAACTTCCCTTTTACCTCCTTTCCCTTTCTCCACCGCTGACATCAGATGCTTCTCCACTAATGGTGGGAGTGGGTTAGTTTTTACTTCTTTGGAGAGTCATGCCCCATTTCTAGAAACCTTTGAGTGAGGTGAGGTGTTGTGCTAAAAGCTTATGAGCTTTCTCTCCAATGTCCAGAGAGGTCACCCACCCAAGAATTCCAGTCCCTGCTGGGGCAGGTCAGGGCAGCTGTCCCAGAGCAGTCACTCTGCACCACAGATGGCAAAGGAATTTTGGTCCCTTTGCTTATTCATTCTCCTAACATTCAGGTGGTGGCTTTGGCAAGAGCCTCTTTGACCAGGCCAGTTCCCAGCTTAGTCATTTGATTGGAGCCACAATATCTGAAATAATCTTTAGTGATCCTATTTCCCATGTAGTCTTTATTCTGTGGGAGGTAGAAAGTTATGCTTTTTCCCAGAGCTCAGCTATCTCTTAAGAGAGTGCCTGATGGGGGCCAATCACTGGGAACTGCCTCCTGTTTACCATCAGTGTTCTCTCCCATCCCGATACCTCTCCAGCACCCACCCTCTTTGTCACACTGGATTAAGTACATGTATTTCATCTTCAAAATAAAATTTATTCATTCTGTAACAAGAACATTGAATCTGCACATTTGCGCACAAGTTCACATTTAAAAACAGCGGAGCACATCAGTAATAAAAAAAAAAAATCTATGATACAAGTGGAACATCCCAACCACCATGAAGATTAAGGAAGGAGATGAGACCACTCTTTATATTCTGCTTCAAATGCCTCAAAAAGGTCCCAGAGATTCCAGGGAGCACCTGCTTTATTTAATAAAATGTGAGCATAAAAGTTCGGGGTGGCCTGGGGCAAAGGTAACAGTCTTTTGGACTTATTTTCCACATTTAGTCCTACAAAATAATGTAGAAATTAAAAAAAGAAAGAAGGAAAGAAAAGGCACCTTAAGCTATACCAAGCAAACCAAAATCCAATAAAACATAAAAACCAAACAACTCCCTGTGGGAAGCATTTCCGGGCCAGTTACCCAGTTTTCAGGCTGGTCATCAGCTTGAGCTAGGCCCTGGGCATCAGCTCTGCATGTGTGTACAGGATGCTGCCGCCAGTGTCTTGGTGAGGACAGATGGCAGCACCAGTCATATACCCTTTGGGGCACCTTCAAGCCCATGAGGGATGATTCCAGTTTAGAAATCCCGCCCTAGACCTCTGGGGCACAGAGAAAATGAGGCTGGTTCTCTTTTCATAGCAGGAGTCAGGCCGAGTCACCCTCCACTTCCAGGCTGGAAAAGTATAGAAGCACCGTGCAACAGCTCTCCATGGCATCAGGGGACCCCAAGCCCTGGGAGAAGGGTTAGGAGTGTGCAGCTTCCTGTTTGGCAGCAGGATTCTTCCTAATATGGTTATCGGATGAGTTGAGACACCAAATACATGTCTAATACATGCCTTGTTCTTTTAGTTTGAAGGGAAAACAAAGTCCAAGATCCTTTTAAGTTGGTGATGAAAGAGCTAAAATTTCATCTCATCAACGATCAAAAAGTAAAACAAAATTAAACAAAAATGACACTAGCCATTCACCAGCATAACCATCACTATAAGACACATCATCACTGAGGAAATGACTGTTTCCACACAGTGTCGGATGGGATGCAGGGCACAGGTGGAAGTCAGCTCCTGTTTCCCCCATTCACCTTTGCCGGCTGACCACTGTCGCCTGCTGTGTGAGGACTCACAGGACAGCCAGGTGTGGGTCCCTAGAGGAGGAGACTGAGCTGCCATCAAGATGATACACATTTTAATACTCACACAATGTAAACAAGGTATCCACAAATAGTTGTCCAAAAAAAGCCGAAGAATGGCTTTATTGAAAAATGCCCTTAAAAGTGACCCATTTTGCATAATGCTTTCTTAAAAAAACAAAACAAAAAAACTCCCACAAAAACATCTTTACCGAACATGCCTAGATCACTTCAGAACTGAAATCCTCAGGTGGAACAGGTGAAGATTTCTGTGAGGTGTCATGTCTCAGAAGCTTCTGGTCTATCCAACAGCATCTGTCTGGGACCTTTAGCAGGAGGGAAGCTCAGAACCTAGGCTGTCATCCTCAGGCTGTCCTCGGAGCTCTTGGTAATTCCCAAAATGAGAAAGAGGAAATACGGTGGGGATAAAGGTAGAGAACCAGGATAATGCTAGATAGAGTTGGAAGAGGCTGAGATGCTAGGAATGATCCCAAACATTCAGAATCTGAAAGGCAACCAAAATGAGGAGAGATGAACATTACTATACTACAGTACTACATGTCTACTATAATATACACTATTCTTAAGTGTTTCTAAAATTAAGGAAGGGTAGGGGTTTCTCTCTTTCCTACTGCCAGGTAACCATCTAGATTGCAGCTCAAAATCTGTGTGCTCCACGCACCAAAATGTTACTTTTTACACACACACACGCGCACACACACACACACACACACACACTCGTTCCTCTGGAGTAATTGAGAGTGAGACTATGGTGGTTTTCAAAATAAAGACAAAGAGAGGCACTGAGCAAGAGGTCCAGGCCTTTCCCACTCGTCGCTGTCAATCTACCAGATCCGCTGTTCCAGGACTGGGTTTTCCATGAACAGGAAACAGAATAGGTCATCCAAGATTATCAAAAGTTTGAAGAGAGGAGAGTCTGAAAAGTCCTTGATAGCGCATTGAGTTCTTTCCCTGGACATTGCTGAGTTATGTAAATAACACAAGAACACTCAGCTGTCGGTGTCTGAGAGGACTGGCAAAACCCCATGGCATTGGTTGAATGACAGACCCTGCGTAGAGGACGTTTATTTATGCAGGTAAATTAAATGATAAAAAGTATTTTAAAAAATGGAAGGCAGAGCAAGAATGTTTACTCCAGCGATTTTCAACCAGTATGCCCCAAGAAATTTTAAAGCATGTAATACCTGACTATTTAGTCAGGGACACTGACCTCTCTTCTCTTGGATTGTAAAGAAAAAAAAAGACAACAGTCAACAGAGCAATAGCCTCGGGGTGTGAATGCCCTGTCTTGAACCATAAATATATAGGTTATATAAAATAGTTGCATCTTATTGGTCACGTTGCATAAGGTTGTGTCTGATTGGCTAATTCTTGGTACCAGAAATTCTTATATACAAGTATAGGCACCTGATTTTTTAAAGTCACTTAGGAGCAAAAAGGGTTGGTAATTACTTTTGGAAAAAAACCAATCAAAATTATACTTTTTTTTGGTTAGGACGGCAAAAAGTTTATTTTTTGGTGTGCCGCAGAACTGCAGTTAGTTTATGTGTGCCATGAGATGTAAAAGGTTGCAAACTGCTGCTCTACTCTTTAAAAAAAAGTTATTGTTTTTCTCTCCAGCATTTGAGTGTTCGCTCCCCATCGTTGTTATTTAATGCAGTAAGAGTGATCAAACACAGTAAGAAGGGAGAAGAGAGAACAGTACAATATTGTCTATTCTGCTTGTACTTAATGTGAGGGATGTCACCACCGACAGGGATTAATGAGTGGACACCACTCTCTTAACCTCCAGGCAAACCCTCCTCTCTTCCCAGCCCTGCCAAAATCTCCTGTCCCTTTCCCATCATAGTGATGGTGGAATTGCCTCAATAAGAAAGGGCAGTTTAGATGGATGAGTTCTGGAAATTCATAACTGTCTTGCAAGCCTCCTCACAGTGGTATATACCACCTAACAAAACACTTCACAGCACATTCAATATCCAGGAATCACAAAGCTGTGTGAACGATACATTTGCATATTTAAGGAAACTATTTAGGGACAGCACAGGTACATATAATTACTACACCATAAAGACACATGTAGCAGGTTTTTGTCTAACATGCCTCCCGGCAGTGATGTCAGACACAACCATGGCTTCCACACGCCAACTGGATTCACAGCTTTTTGAGCACCTATGAATGGCCTCAGTCCACCTTTTCTCTCTCCTTTGGGTTACCCTACTACCTCTCGCACTAAACACTGGCTACTGACATCACCTTGGCACTCTGTGCATCTGTCTTTTCCTCTCAGTGCTGTGATGAATCAAAAACCTCAATCTCAAGTCTGTACTTGATCAATCTCTCAGCAATGTGGACATCAACCAAAGCAAACAGGAAGCAAATTTGCAAACTTCTTCAGTTTTAACAAGGGTCCTTCATTCAAGGCTAAATATGTTTTCTGTAAGAAGCTGAAGTAGGCTTGTTTATGGCAGGTGCTCCTGTGTTAAGGATATCCATAATAGCAGCAAAGCAACAGCATCCTAAATGGAGTCAGTAAGGGCGCCTGTCCTTGGCTGAGGCCTCCCGGCAGCCTTTCAGTCTAATCCAGGGGTTCTCAACCTGGGGGTCGAATAACCCTTTCACAGGGGTCGCCTAGGACCATCGGAAAACACATATTTCCGATGGCCTTAGGAACCAAGACACCGCTCCTCTATCCGTCTCTAGGCGGGTCTGCCCACATGCAGATACGTCCACATACAACATGAGGAACTGGATTAAAGGGTTGTGGCATTAGGAAGGTTGAGAACCACCGGTGCAATCCATTAAGAGCTTCCACCCCGGGAAGCAGTTAATACTCCCATACTCTCCCTGGCTGTGGTTCAGTGACCACAAACAACTTTCTGGGATTTCAGTTTGGAAGAGGATTCACCCTTCAGTTAAACTGTGATCTAATGGGAACCTTTAGGGGTTTCTCTGAGGAGGGTTACTAATGCATAATTTGGCAGGAGCTGGCAATTAGAAGTCTCCATTTAAACAATTAAAACAACTGTCAATATACTCTGCAGATTCCTACCAACACTCATCAGGTTTATTTCTGTGTTTTCCAGTTTCAGTTTTACTCCTTCTTAAAAAGAATAAATCAAAAAGACCCTATGACATCAACAACAAAATACTGTACGAAAGTGACATTATGTACATAAACACTGTGTAAAAACTAGAAATGATAAATCTTCCAGAAAAAGAAAGGGAAAAAAAACTTATGTCAAGTGTTAACAGTGATAATATCAAAAAGAAAACTTTGCATTCAATGGAGGTTATACAAATGTAATGTAACAATTCAAATACCATCTATGAAATTAAAAAAAAAAAAAAAAGGCAGCATGGGGAGAAACGGCATGGGGGAGGAAGATAAATTGGAAAAACTATGGCCATTAAACTCAAGAGGCCCACAGAATTATTCAAGTAATGGAAAGGTTAAAACCCTACATATGTATTCATTTTATAAGAACACACTGACTTTCAATTGCTGTTTTTCAAACTTGTCCCTATTGTGTCTCAGCTGGGAGGATGGTACAGACCACTTTCCTGGCAGACAGGGTCAGGACACCTGTGTGGAGCCCTTCACCCTCAAGACAGTGGGCAGCAGCCTCCCCGTCCCGCCCTGCCCAGGCATTTCACCTCCTTCTTATGCTTTCCTCTACAGAGGACCTTTTGGATTTCATTTGGTGTTGCCTTTTAATAAAAATAACTAATTGCTTTACTGGTTTAGAAAGCCAGCTATTATGCCTTTTTGTAATGATCCACTCTGGAATACCAGAAGAAATGGATTCTGGAAGACCCCCTTTGAAAACAGCAGAACCTGCCACGTCAGGAACTCCAAAGGGCTAGGGCTGGAGGCCGAGGCCGAGAACACGCTGATGTCCGGCTGCCCTTCAGCCCGTCCAATGCATCAGGTCTGGAAAGCAAACCATCGTCACGCTGGCCCAGGGGGAACATTTTCAATTTCTGGCTTCACCCCCACCCTCCCCATCTGCTTCCTTCCTCAGTCAAGCAAGCATGCCTTTCCTCAGAGGTCAAAATGAGGAGCAGGTGGCAGTTAATTGAAAAACAGCAATGTGCCTTTGATAAAGGTGTCCTTTGAAAATGAGTAAATTTTGAGGTTTGAATTTTCTAAAAATAAAAAATGATAAAATGGTCTTGCCATCCAAATCAATCTCTCTTTCACACATACACAGAGGAAAACACCCTAAACCCTGCATGCGCCAGGAACAGTAAAATGACCAAAATATTATAAAATTAACCAATAAAGTGCATGTTCCTTACATATTACACCTGCCCCTTTTACAAACATTTCTTTCAGAAAGTCACATGTGTAGGCTCAGAATCACATGGTATTATAGAAGGGGTTGGTTGTCCGTTTTTTATCATTTGCCTTTTTCAGTCTCCTAAGGGGGTGAGTTCTGCCGTGCTGCTGACGGGGAGCCACGGCCAGCCCTGGAGCTGGGCCTGCACACGGCAGCCCCTGGGTCTGCAGCAAAGGAAGGCCTCCTTCAGAACTAGTCAATTCAGGTCCTGCCTTGGGGAGCAAACACTGCTGACTGTAACCAAATTCTTTGGCATACTGTACAAGGGGCCTCTCCACTGGCTTGCTCTGTGCGATACACTCTGTTGTTTTAAGTTGCTCTATAAAATACTTGGTGGGCTCTGGGTTCTGGGGGGCATCTGGGTTTTCTGGGGGCTCCTGGGCCTCCATGGCATGCATGCCTGAATCTGTTCTGATGAAGGGCTGAAGCAATTTGAGATGAGGGGACTCAGAGGAGACAGGATCTCTCTCCAGTAAACAGTCTTTACACAGGTCCAAGTAACCTAACTTGGCGAGGGAAGCTGAGCGCCTCATTTGGGATGGCTTGGTGCGCCCTACCTGGCAAATAGCTCGGGACTCAGTTTCTTTAGTGCGCTCCTTCACCACACTGGGGCTGTGGCTGAGACCCTTTATGTTGTCACTGCTAGAGCTATGTGAGAGTCTACAGGCTACAGGAGATGGGTCCAGTTTTTCTTGGAACTTCCCAATGTTGTCACTAAGTTTGCTAATTAAACTCAGGTCTTCACTACTTAACTGGGAGCCCTTATATGGCACTTCATTGCCACCGGACAGGGGGCCCTCCTGACTTTCTTCCCAGCTACCCTGCTCCGCACAGGGCTCAAAGTCTGTGGTGCTGCTTTGCTCTGTGAAGCCTTCCAGGTGAACCACGGTCTGGGGATGCAGGTAATCCAAGTTGGCAGACGGTACATGGGTTGTGTGACTGACAAAAGGCGCTGCTGTGTCCAGGGCTGTTGCCGGGCTGTGGCCCCAGTCTCCAGGGCTGCTCAGTGTGGAGGTCGGGTCGGTGCGCCTTTTGTGCTCAGGAGAGGAAGAATGAGGCAGAGGTAGCACTTTGGGGTACAGAGAAACCTGGCTGGGGCACAGCGTCCTGTTCAGATTTTCATCCAGTGCACAGAGGACAGTGATGGACTTCTCCACTTTCACTTTCCTCAGTCCTTGCTCCCCACTCTTTACACTGGTGGCTATTTCAGCCCCTGGCCAAGTGTGACTGGGTGATGTAACTGTTTGGGTATACTCAATGATTTCTATCTCCTTGGGGAGAGGGACCATCTGTGTCTCAGATCCCTGGCATGAAACCACAGTCTCCTGCTCCTTCAGGACTCCTTGCTGCTTGGTCCTAGTCTCTGACTCAGGGCACTCCTGAGGAGCTGGCAAGGAGTGAAAATCCAGCAGCTTGGGTGCTGAAACAAGGACATCTTGCTCACAATGTGCTAGTGAGCCAGCCTCAAACCCACTGCATTTCCTTTTGCCCTTGTTCATCTCTGGTTCCCTGGGGACAGATGAATGTTCTGGGGTGGCTTCATCACTCTTCCCTTTCGGTACTAGGTCTGCCATAGAGGAATCGTTCTTGGAATTCTTACGAGTGGACAATGATGTACAAGTAGGGGTAGCACTGTGGTACTCCTGCTCCTGCCGCAAACGCTCCTCAAACTCCAAGGTGGCTCGTCTCACGGAACCAGGGTACCACTTGGCACCTGGGTGCATGCCTGGGCCCCAGAGCTCTTGTTCCCCCTCAGCTGGTTCCTCTTCTTCCAAGTCTGTGGTGGATGAGTGTAGAGTTAGGCAGCCTTCTGGGTCCCACCTCCCTGAGTCTTTGGCTAGTTCAGGCCGGGCTGGGCAAGAACCCTCATTTGGCTCCAGATTTCCTGGTTTGTTCTCTGGGGCCTGGGTCCTCTCAAGGGGCATCTCGTGGGTGGTGTTCTTCTTTGGCGTATGGCATGGGTTGGATAAAATGTCTCCTTTTAGTTGAATCTGTCCAATTCCTTGACTGATAGATTCAATCTCAGTGACAATTTCTTTGACTGAAATAGCATTTTCTGAGTGAGATTGTGTGAAGATGTCTGGGCTGACCAGTTCTGAGATTGCCTAAAAAGAAAAAACAGTGAGATGGTTATGGCGAATTGTAGTCTAACCGAAAATGCCAGCTGTTTTGTTTACTATTCCTCTGATCTAGGAGAATCTTCTGGCTATGAAGACACAAATCATGGAGTGCCTGGGACTGTCCTCTGACCATCTGTTTTATTGTACACACACAGATTCATCAAAGGCAGAGACAAGATTAGTTACAGGTTGTATCACTGTTTACTGAACTTTCTGTTCTGTTTACTCAAACGGGATGCCCATCTAATATCCTGCTCCAAAAATGACAGCAAATAGCATTGGAGGCTCCTAATTTTCCTATGATCATGAGCCTTCAGAACTGGGGGAAATGAAATCTTTCTTTTCTGGCCTGTATCAACTTCTAGTTAGATCCTAACCTAGTCTGAGGGGAAGAGTTCCATTTAAGGGCTTAATTATGCCCAGTGTTAGACAAGGCAGGGATGAGGCTATCATCTGATGTCTGACTTGGAGACTCACTGCTCTATTCTCTCTTCTGTGTTGCCAGCTTTCATCCACATCCTCCCACTTCTAGCAGCAGCATCCCAGCACACGAGGGCACTATGTATCTGATCACACAATTCCTATGTTTCACACGGCTCCTCCTGGGAAACGTTTACTTGGCTTATGCAGCCACGTGCCTGAGCAAACTTAGAAAGTGCGACTCTGACATTGTATTGTTCTAAGTTATGAATTCCAAGATGTATTTAGAACAAGGACAAAGAAAACTGGCCAATGCAAAATCAAGTCCTTTTGAAAAATAAAAAGTATTTCAAAATTTGGAAATAGCCCCTGGACACTTCTTAAAGTGACATCATTATGACCATCACTCTACTTTAACATTTTTATAAGCCTTCAAAATATAATATTTACCTAGGAATTGTTCTGGTATTTCCCCTTCAATTGAGAGTCAGAGCTAGTACAAACTAACAAGGTCAGTCATGCCTTTGGGAGAAATCTGCCAGGATATCAGGCAGAGGCAAACTTGCCAGGACTGGGAGAGAAGCCACAGCAGGCCGGTGTGCATGGGCTGTACAGGGAGTGCTCATATGATCAGGGACTTTGCAAAAAAGCTATTTCTGCCGGAGCCCATTGATCCAAAGGAGAGCTCAAGCATTCAGATTTCCCAGTAGAAACGCAACAGAGGGATAGCCTTTGAGGAGAGGAGAAGACAGAAGCAGAGGCAACAACTGCCCTCAGGTAGTTGAAAAAAAATAGAACAGATGAGTAATGGACAAGGTGAAAAATAAATATAAATAGATAGACATCAGGAGATGTCAAGAATCCACTCAGCCCCACTGACTTCATTAAGTGAAGTTTAGAGTAAATCTGTCACCATTTACTTCCCAGCTGCCATATTATACTGATTAAAATGAAACCCAATTTCAGAAGTGTCAATACAGGAATAAGTGTGAATCTTAGAAATAGTAATTCTTTCCCTGGTCTGAGATGGTTCATAAGAGCTCATATGCCACTGAGAAGAATCTTGGGATTCGGTCTGCTCTCTCAAATCACTTCCCCAAACAAACCCTCAATTCTTGAATACCACAGGGTCTAAGTTGAGGAGCAATTCAGAAATATTAATAGCAAGGATGCAGCATGGGAATCAGGTGCCATTCCAACAACTATTTACACATGTCTAGCTTTAGAATTTTCTGAGACAGAAAGAATTTTCCAAACAAATCTATCTTCTCAGAGAGACACAAGTCTGACTCAGGCAGCATATGAGTCCTGGCACTTCATTACTGGTGAGATTTGAGCTGAACTGCAGAGGTCCAGGGGGAACTGCTCTTTGTTCAGCCAGGAAATTGTTTTGGTTAATCTCTTCTTCCCTCATCCCCTCAAAAGTGCTTCCAATGGCCCTGGCCGGTTTGGCTCAGTGGTTAGAGCGTCAGCCTGCGGTCCAGAGAGACCCGGGTTCGGTTCCCGCTAAGGGCACGTACCTCGGTTGCAGTTTGTCCCCGGCTCTGGATGGGTCATGTGGGTGGCAACCACTCGATGTGTCCCTTTCACATCGATGTTTCTCTCTCTCTCTCTCTCTCTCAATCTCTCTCTCTCTCTCTCCCTCCCACTCTATCTGAACAAAAAAAATGGAAAATGTCCTCGGGTGAGGATAAAAAAAAAAAAAAAAAAAAAAAAAAAGTGCTTCCAATGACACCAAAAACCTGAAAAGACAAACTCCTCAGAAGGCAACTGATTTAAAAAATATTTAAACCCTAAGTTTTCAAGGAAAGTGTTGGCCAGACTCTCCCATTATTAAAATAAAGTGACCATAGCAGAATCCCAAATATTTTGTCTTCAAAGGTAACTTCATTAGGTGGCGAACTATAAAGATAGTTTTTACCTTTGACTGTTCCTCATCTATTGAAGATTCTTCGGATGCATGGGGAGTGTTACTCAAAGAGCTGCTTCTCTGGTCGTCAGCTGTGACTTCAGAAGGCACTACTTCTACCACTGACAGTCGACAGCTCTCACTCCTTCCTCCACCCAGTTCCTCCATCCTTGAGTGGGAAAAAGATCGTGACCGGGTTTCTTGAGAAAGCTCTACAAACTTCTCTAGGGCACTAAAAAAATTAATGCGATCTGTACTGAAATCTGAGACTTCAACCTGATAACTGGGTTGGGGGCTTGGTGACTCAGGATCAGGGGACATGGGGAGGTCTTTCAGGCGAGATGTCAATTCTTCCATAGGCAGTAAGTGGACGTTCATGTCTGCTTTCAGAGCGTCTGTCTCCAAATCTTCGACTGTTAAGTCTGGGAACTTGTTGGGCATTTCTGGGGCCTGTCCCGGTTGGATTAAGGCTTTGGAGGCATGGCAGTTGTCAGGAGGGAATTCTGATTCATTGAGACAACACCCTGATGTGCATCCATTGATGTCATTTAGGTTTAATTCATCTTCAATCTGTCCGGCATGAAATTCCCTAGAAGTAAACTCCAAGCAGATCATTCTTTCTTTGGTACACAGGACTTTCTGATTTTCATCTTGTGGGACGACATGTTCCACAAAGACAGGAGGTATGGGTGGGTGACCTTCCATGGTCTTTACCTCGGCAATCTGGTCTGCTGAGGTGGTGATTTCCTTCTTGTTGAGTTCTAGCCCTGGTTTGCAGATGGGTTCATGGTGGTCTGAGAGGTCGCTATCTGAATGAGATCTCCAGAGCTTGTTATGCCGTTGCTTGCTGTGAAGGACATACACAAGAAACGCCTTACTCTCATCTGTGAAAACAATGAACACCCTCCCAAGAAACCGCACCCAGATAAACTTAAACCTTAACTTGCAAAATGCTTTGTTAATGTCCAATGGTAGTAGGCAATAAACATTTGAAAAGATGCTCAACTTGCCCTGGCCGGTTTTGCCCAGTGGTTAGAGTGCCGGCCTGTGGTCCAGAGAGACCCGGGTTCAGTTCCCGCTAAGGGCATGTACTACGGTTGCAGTTTGTCCCCGGCCCTGGTTGGGTTGTGTGGGTGGAAGCCACTGGATGGGTCCTTTTCACGTCGATGTTTCTCTCTCTCTCTCCCTCCTACTTCATCTGAGCAAAAAAAAAAAAAGTTCAACAGCAAAAAATAAATAAATATGAGATCTGACTTTTTTTTTTTTTTAATTCTCACCCGAGGACATTTTTCCATTTTTTGTACAGATAGAGTGGGAGGGAGAGAGAGGAAGGGAGAGAGAGAGAGAAACATCGACGTGAAGGGACACATTGAGTGGCTGCCACCCGCACGACCAACCAGGGCCGGGGACAAACTGCAACCGAAGTACATGCCCTTAGCGGGAACCGAACCCGGGTCTCTCCAGACCACAGGCCGACGCTCTAACCGCTGAGCCAAACTGGCCAGGGTGAGATCTGATTTTTTTAACCTATCAGACTAACAAGAGGTAATATGGTTGCTAGCAGCCAGTGTTGTTGATGGTATGGTCAAACAAGCCCTCTCATATACTACCTTTGGGAGGAATGTGAACTGTAGCATTTTTAAGAGTGAACTCTGGTAGTAGCTCTCAAAATTTAACCCTTTAACCAGCAATACTTCCTTCAAGAGTTTTTCTTGGAGTACTACTACGATAAGTACATGAAGATACACATAAAAGGATGTTTACTGTAACATTGTGGTCCTAAAATATTAGACACCCCCAAAAATATTTATTTAAATTATAGTCCATATACCTATATGCTATGAGGCTGTTTAAAAAAGTCAGGTATTTTAGTGGAATGATGTCCAAGGCATAATATTTTTTAAAGCCTTTTAAAAAAAAGTGTTTTTATTGATTTCACAGAGAGAGGAAGGGAGAGGGAGAGACTGAAACATTGATGAGAGAGAAACATTAATCGGCTGCCTCCTGCACATCTCCTATTAGGAATCAAGCCTTCAACCCGGGCATGTACCCTGACTGGAATCAAACTAGTGACTTGTTGGTGCATGGGACGATGCTCAACCAACTGAGCCACACCGGCCAGGCTCCAAGGCATACTATTAAGTGAAAAAGCATGTTGAACATAGATGAGATGGTCAGTTCCCATGTTAGAATAAGTATAGGAAAAAACCTGGAGAAACATCACCAAATTGGTAAAAGTCTTTTCAAGGAAGGCAAACATACTTGTGGGGAGGTCTTTACTTTCTATAAATTTTTAATTTAAAAAATAATGAGCGCCCTGGCCGGTTTGGCTCAGCAGTTAGAGCATCGGCCTGCGGTCCGGAGAGACCTGGGTTCGGTTCCCGCTAAGGGCACGTACTTCGGTTGCAGTTTGTCCCCAGCCCTGGTTGGTCATGCGGTGGCAGCCACTCGATGTGTCCCTTTCACATCGATGTTTCTCTCTCTCTGTCTCTTCCTCTCTCTCCCTCCCACTCTATCTGTACAAAAAATGGAAAAATGTCCTCGGGTGAGGATAAAAAAAATAAATAAATAAATAAAAAATAATGAGCATGTTTAACATTCATTAATAACCAGAAAAAACAAAACAAAAACCAAACTAAAACAAAATAGCATTCGAGTAATACAAAGAGAAACCTTCATTGGAGCCCATTACAAATCCTCATAATTAGGATGAAGAGCTGCTATAGGATTAATCACTGACACAGAAATCTGAGGAGGGTGGTAATCCTTCTTGAATTAGAAAACAAAGATGAGGTGAAAAAAGTTGGTAACAGAATGGAAGAGAATGAGCAGGAAGTACAGGCCCCTTTCATAAATATCTTTGGATAAAAACCATCAGCCTAAGGTGACACTTGGAAAAGCAGATGAGCCAAAGGAAGACCACACACACACACACACACACCCCCTTTGGTTTATTTTATGGAGGGAAGGTCTGATGTGAGTAAGAGATTTCATTTCAAACCCCTCTTGAACAAAGAAGCACAGTTCTCAAAACCCTAGCCAAAAAGAGAAAGGTGGCCCTGTGGCTGGTCAGGATCACCTGCCCAGGGAATAGTCACTAAATGGTTTATGGGGTATGGTTTCCCTGACTTACAAGCTGATGAAGAGTGACCTAACCGCAGGGTAGAATGGGCAACAGCCCAAAACAATTTACCCTGGGCTGAGGGCCACGCCTCAGAGGCCTGTAAATCTCTGCTGAGTCATGTGCCTGCACTAATGTGAACCCCTGTTTGTTCTCAAGTCTGCACCTGCTCTCAGTTCCCCTGTCTGTCTACAGCTTGGGTGGGGCTCCCTCTGACTCAGGCCTGCACAGCAAAAGGATGCTTTTCTGGGCAGGGAACAGGTCAATCTGTTTATGAAGACAAACTATAATCAGTTTAGCTGGGTGTAAGGTAGGGTTTTCACTCTTTGAAGATGCATAAACTCCAGCCACCCCTAGGAGGAGACAACACATCACACATCCCAAACAAGTGAGTGGCTATGTGGAGGGGCAAGCTGCCTGGTTGGATAGATGAGTCTAAATACTGTGACCAACCAATGCCAATGTGCTTCCCTTTAAAGTTTCTTCTTTCATAGATAGACACCCTTGTTTCCTGATCTAAATATGACTGTGTTCTCAAATTTCCATTCCTCACCTATTATGAGCATGTTCAAACCTGCACCAACTCCTCTCAGCCACCATAGCAGGACAATTCCTATCATGCAAACAACTAAAGACATTGCAGGGAGTTGTTCTCACCCTTCTAATAAATGTAAAAGAACATCTTATCAGTCAACAGGTAAATGGGGATGTTTTCATAATCCCAAGAATCTAGCGAAGAATGATTTTTAAAACTGCCTGCAAATCACTAACCAATCAAGAGGGAATGAGAAACCGAAGTTATGCTAATAGGCATAAACAGTGCATGTTTCAGAGGAACTGGCTGACATCATAGCTGTTTTACCCAGCAGGGATTTCCTTCTCTTCCTGGAGGAGATAATCATCAGAAAATATTTGGTCAGGGCTCTGGAATTAAACTGACACATACTTGTAAAGGAGAAAGAAAAACTCTAATCTGAAGATAGGTCTGATTCCGCTGCCTTTTCATTTTTGCAATAGGACCTGCATGGAGAGTGGTAGGCAGCTCTCTGATACAGTCAAGATATTCATTACCATGGCCTTTGAAGCATTACTATTCCTTGGGGCCCTTCCCAATCCTCTCCCTCCTCCCCCCTCAGGGGTTATTAACCTCTGCCCTGAATTTTGTGCTTATCATTCCCTTTCTTTCTTGTATAGAGTCACTATGTTTTGTTATTAATTATATACTGCTTAGTTTAGCATGTTTTGAATTTTATATAAATGAAATAGTGTATGTATTCTACAACTGTTTTGTTGCTTAACATTATGTTTTTAAGATTCATCAATGTGTGTAGCTATGATTTGATAGAGAGAAATTTATCCATCCTGTTGATGTGCAGTTCTGGCTATTATGAAGAACACTGCACTGGCCATTCTTGTGCCTGGTGCACACTTTTGTTTCTCAAAGGTGTTTTTTATATAGAAGCAAAAAAAGAGGGCCACAGGACATGTATAAATCATGTTTTACTCAGTAACATCAAACTGTTTTCCAATGAAATCTTTTCCCAAGCCAGTTCATTTTAATGCTCCCGCACTGGTCAGAATAAATGTAAGGCATTAGATCGTATTTGTTATTTTTAAAAAACTATTAATGTTTAAATTCAGCTGACTTTCCCCACCTGGTTCCAGGTAGGTAGCAAGTAAACAAGTTGCTGAAAAGGACGTCAGAGTTGGTTTATAGCATGAATGACGTAGCCATCTCCTGTTCTTTTCCGCCTTGAGTGGCCTCTGACCTGAATTTGGATTCACATAAACACACTGACACACATGAGATGACTGGCCATTCTGGGTAAGATTTTGTCCCTCTACTGAGTAAATAATCAAGAAGGAAATCTAAATGACATGATGCACACAATATCCCATTCTCTTGCTCGACTTTCTTTCTTTCATATTGTTATATGTCTGGTAAAGCACTAATTCTGTGTGAGAAAGTTACATAGAGGAAAATATTGCTAAAAATGGAGAATCAGTTATAGTAAAATCAGAGAAATGGCTTCAAGCATTTTCTGGGTGCTGTGCTTTAAGATCATTTTTCTGAAAAGCTATTAAGAAAATCCTTTAGCCCTGGCTGGTTTGGCTCAGCCGTTAGAGCGTCGGCCTGCAGTCCTGAGAGACCCGGGTTCGGTTCCTGCTAAGGGCGCGTACCTCAGCTGCAGTTTGTCCCCGGCCCTGGTCGGTTGTGCGGGTGGCAGCCACTCGATGTGTTCCTTTCACATCGATGTTTCTCTCTCTCTCTCTGTTCCTCTCTCTCCCTCCCACTCTACCTGAACAAAAAATGGAAAAATGTCCTCAGGTGAGGATAAAAAAAAAAAAAAAAAGAAAATCCTTTAAACACTGATTGTGATTGGCTGTCACCTGACCAGGACCACATCCTCTCATTCTCGGGTTCCCTCCTGCTGGCTTACCATTGTGCTCTAGCTAACTAGACTTCAATGTCTCCACCAGCAAAGCCAGGGTAAAAGACAACTCTGCCTTCTCTGGCCCTGGTGACAGCAGTGTTCAAAGAATCAAAACTGACATCTATGAGGACATGTGGCATAAATTCTCCCTGGCCACCACCCAGTTTTTCTTCCTTGCCTTATACATTGGAATATAATATCACAGACACATGGTCAGCTTGCAAAAGCCTGAAATCTGAACTTGTCTAATGGAACATAAATCTGCCAGATACCTGCATGATCAGAGTGCAG